CCCCCCCCCCCCCCCCACCAACACCCTGCAAACAGATAAAGACAAGCAAAACCCGCCGGTCAATTGGTAGGCGGTAGCTTAAACAAGGACCGAGCCATCATCAAGGAGTTGAAGAGAACTGTCTTGTAGCTCATGATCCAGACCTCGGCTGGCCGTGCATATTCGTGGCACGCAAACCCTTCCATTGCGCAATCTCAGACTTCGACACCTTGATAAAGACCAAGCCATCCGCTTTGTCCTACTATCTGGGCCTTGGTAGGACATCGCTTCATGCCACACTCGAAACAATTAGAGATAAGGAACCCGCGAGCATCCCCCACAAGCCCAAGTGATTTCCACCCGTTGTCTGAATGACGGCCTGCATGTGCGAGGTATTTGTCCGCTGTGCCATCTTAGCAGCAACTCACGACCTTCGCCCGGATCAGTGGGTAGGTCAGAAGTGTGGCCACAGCTTTCGACACTCCAGAAATCCAAAACCTGGCAAGAAGACTCATTCAACCAACAGCCAGCAGAAGCCTGTCGGGACAACGAGGCCCGCGACACATGTCTGTTGAGCTCAAGTGGGAGGAAGTCCCGTGACCTCGCAAAACCTGAAAAGCATGAGGCGGGTTCTAAATTGCCTTGGCATGTCGCTTTGATTTGGCCTTGATGAGATCCGAAAGCTTACCGACCTCAGCGACTGAAAGGTACCAGGTCGCCAGTTGCGGCCTCTTCAAAACTGCGAGCTGCTGGCCAAGGTAAACATCAGAGCAGGGTTCAGAGAGAGCAAAAGCGCGACGGGAAGCCTGAACATGCCAAAACAAGACGTAGCCTGTTGCTCGCAACTTTGGAAAAGCCCACCGCACCCTCGCCAAAGCTCCTGAACTCCGCCGGTACCTGGCACAATCTTGCGTACTCGCGTCCGGTCAAAGACCCCCACCCCATCCGGGGCTTCCCGTGTTGGTGTTTCAGTGGTGGCCAGCAGAAAACTACTCGGTCGGACACGTTCGTTACCCTAAGGAATCACGACAGGAAACTCGCACACTCGGACAGTTCCACCTTTTTCTTCCGCTCCGTGAAAGTCCGGAGGTCTGTGAAAACAGGACGCTCGGAAAAGCAAACCGGAGTCCGCAGCTTTCCGCGGCAGTCGAACCCAAAACAAGGTCGAGGCGAGCACGCTTGACCCGTATGGAGCCGCTGAAGGCGGCGAACGAGGGAGACATTGTCAACTTGGATCGGTGGGATAGCTGACACCGGTCTACCGAGAAACACTCAGCAGCTTTGGTTTTACGAAGGCAAAGAGATCGGACCCACGAATCACAGCATCTGCAGCATGCTTGGAGATGCCGGGAACATGCTCAACGTGGACGACATGCGGTACGGTAACGGTCGTGAAAGACAAACAATGACCAAAGAACTTCAGAGAGACCCGCCATCGTGATGCCCTTCCACGCGGAAGATGCAGCGGCAGGGAAGGTGGCCTATGTGGCCTTCTGTAGCAGGTCATGCAAAACAGGCAGGACAACTCCTGGCAGCCACGGGCAGAAGTACACAGAGCTATGCACAGGTAAGCCTCTGCTGTAGAAGGAACTGACCCTCATCGTCAACACGGACGAGGCCACCAAGACTGCCAGAGGTGGCAACCGCACATGCATTTGCAAATGCACCGCGATGGAACAATATAGGTTGAGCACTTCCCAAGAAGGCGCGGGGAACATGTTTGCACCCAAAATATCGAGATCCTGGAAAGATGTGCCAAGTGATACCGTCACCGCTCTGGTTTATGATCGTTGCAAACTTAGGGAGGGGTCTTGGTTATAATGGACAGCACGTGCGTGATGTAGATAATTGATCGAAACTTTGGTTCAACGCCCAAAGGACCTCAGGCGAAACACTTAAAAAACATCTACGTGTAAACCCTTGACGAGTCAAGCAGACGTTGCCACATGTTGCCACAAGATGAATCCGATTCTCAGAGTGCAACCGAGATGGACGAATCAACCCCCTACCGTTGGCCAGTAGACACGACCACATCAAGTTTACCAATTGTGGTGTGGGTGCATTTTGCCGGAGCTCGGAATCACCGCCACGCACTTCGGCGGACTCGCAGCGCCGCCAAGGAAGAGGACCAGCATCCGGGCAGCAGGTGGGAACATAACGGGGGCAGGCCGCAATGGGTTCGACCATGCCAAGCGGAACCCCAACTTTTAGAATTTCGAGAGTCCGGATCGGATGCGGCCATAGAGCCAATGCCACAGATTGAGACGGAAAGGTTGACAGGGTGTGTCGGATAGAAGCTCCTCCTACGTGCTGTCGCACCCAACATGAAAGAAATTGTTGAGGTTCCTGCACCCCTTCCTCCTCCCCCCCTCCTCGTCCTCCACCCTCCTCCACCTGCTCCACCTCCTCCACCTCTACCTGATCTTGGTCGACTTCTTGTTCTTCTCCTGCCTGTTGGTGAGATGTTCGCGGGTCTCAATCGCCTGCCATCAGATGGCAGCTGGACTTCCGCTGCTTCACCCTCGCTCTCGATCCGGCGAGGATGGGGCGCCTTACCACCCTCATCTGCTCTATGGTCCTCTCGTGTTATGTTCGCGATCTCGAGCGGGCCAGAGGCAAACTGTTTTGGCTTTCCTGCTTGTTCCGACTCCTGCTTGTTCCGAGTGTTTTGCCAGTCCTTGGCTCCGCTCTACGTTGACCTACATCCGGTCTTACACTGTCTTACAGCAGTTGCTGCTGATGTTTGGGACCGCCTGTGTCACGAATTCAATGGGCATGGCTCCCTTTCTGCCCGGCCTCCGACCCAAACCCTGCAAAGAAGCCTTAAAAGGAGATGCTGAAACCCTAAACCACAGGAATGGTTGGGAAACCCAAAACCCTAAAAGGAGATGTTGGTTGACCCAAAATGCAAAGAAGCTGCTATTGACAGACCCCAAACCCTAAAAGGAGATGCTGAAACTGTAAACGCAAGGAATGGTCGGGAGACCCTAACCCTAAAAGAAAGGTTGGTTGATCCAAAGCCTGCAAAGAAGCTGCGGAATGGTTGAGAAACCCCAAACCCTAAAAAGGAGATGTTGGCTGACCGTAAGCCTGCAAAGAAGCTGCTGTTGACAAACCCCAGAGAATGAAGAGGAGATGCGGCAAACTTGAACAAAAGGAATGGCTGGGAAACCCCAAACCAAACCCGAGAAGACTCCCGAGAAGGAGATGTTGGCTGACCCAAATTCTGCAAAGAAGCTGCTCGGCAAAATTTCCTGCTGCCGCTGCTGCTGCTGTTATCGTTGTTGCTGCTGATGCTGCTGGTGTTGTTGTTGGCGGTGGTGCGCCTGATGCTGTCAAGTTGTAGTTGTTGTAGGTGTTGTAGTTGTTGTAGTTGTTGTAGTTGTTGTAGTTGTTGTAGTTGTAGTTGCTGCAGTTGCTGCAGCAGTTGTTGTTGTTGTTGCTGTTGTTGCTGTTGTTGCTGTTGTTGCTGTTGTTGCTGTTGTTGCTGTTGCTGTTGCTGTTGTTGCTGCTGTTGTTGGTGTTGGTGTTGGTGTTGTTGTGCTGTTGATTGCTGCTGTTGATTGCTGCTGTTGATTGCTGCTGCTGCTGCTGCTGGTGGTGGTGGCGGCGGCGGCGGCGGTGGCGGTGGCGGTGGCGGTGGTGGTGGTGGTGGTGGTAGTGGTGGTAGTGGTGGCGGTGGCGGTGGTGCCGCGGGCTGCGTAGACAATATGGTATTGTGGGCTGAGCTGATTGATCATGCTGGGGGATGCTCATCCCCTGCAATTCGGAGCTCTCGTCTCCGACCCTTGAGAAGCAAGGCTCTCAGCTTGTCCCGTCTCCGACATCCGGCCAGGCTAGCCCAGCCGCAGCCACAGCTCGCCTAGCTAGTCGGAAATCCAAGGAAGACCGCATGCTCTGGTCGGTCTCCCGGGCCGAAGTAGCCGAAGAGGTTAAGCGGACACCGATCTTGCCCCGAATGTCCCTGCCGGCGCCCCGCCATTTCCTCATGCAACCTGTGACCTAGCTGGGTCGACCAGGCTTCCCGCTCCCCCTGACTCTCGCCTTGACGAACTGGTAGGAACAACAGAGCTCGGAGTAGACAACCGAGAAGGTTCCGGAGTGCGGGGCTCGGAGCTACGAAGATGCACGACCTAGATCCCAGAGCAGACCCAGACGCGACCAACCTTTGCAGCTCTTGCTGGTCAGTTCCTACGCTCATGCACGTGAGCGTTCAACTGCAAACTAGCCAGCCGATTGCGAATAGCCTGCTTCCACAGATGCAGAAGGTCAAGCAAGCCCCCGAGAAGTGTCCCCGCAAGATGCCAAGGAGCAGCCTGTCCAAAAATCCCAGCCCTCTCTATCGAACGGTAGAGTCGGATGAGGGGGAATCTCGCACACCGTAGGACTTCTGAGAGCTTCGCTGAAAAGGGTAGCAACCAAGGAACTGAAGGTTCCTGCTCCCGCTACTACGGCTAATGTACGACCTTCCATTCGACCCGAAAAGTTTGAAACAAATACATTCGGACGATCTGCATGACACGGCATGCACAGCACTGACAAGCTACCAACACACTTACACAAATCGCGATCACTCTGAGCGCTTGAAGCCTTCCTTCCTTCCTCCCTTCCTTCCGCTGGGTTCAGGTCAGACTAGCTGACCCGCGCCAAGGCGCCCCCCCTCTCTGCTTCCTGTGGTTTGGGAAAGGCCTTTGGGGTCCATGGGCTGTTGTAGGTTTTTTTTTTGACACCTCTGTTCCTCCCTCGCGGTTGCTCTGTTGTAGGTTTTCGGTTTTAGGGTTTAGGGTTAGCCTCTCTCTCTCTCGCTGTCGTGACACTCTCACAATTTGATTCCTCTTGACCGTTAGAGGCTTTGGTGTGCGCACGAGCCAGCCGGAGGAAGGTGCTGAAGAAGCCTCTGGATGCTGGATCTGCCTGGGCATTAATTCTGCACATGCGACAGCACTCGCGCAGTACTGCGAACATGTGCGAACTATGAACCTGATTAACATTGGCAACGACATCAAACGGCGTCGTGAGGATGCGGTTGAACCTGACATCAACAGACCGCAGCAATTTGCCAAGTTGCAAGACAGATGACCTGCAAATCCTCCACTCCTGTACATTAATGGATCTCCAGGCAGCTGTTGTGCCAGCATGTTGACGACCAGCGCGGCAATTGTTCCTAACCTGCGTGCATATGGCAAATTGGTGCACTACAGCGAGTTCATTTTCTACATCTCTCGGGTCCGCGCTTTTGGCAGCCCGGTTCGTGCACTTGAAGCTGGCGCAGACTGAGCTGGACGAAGACCGTTTGCCAGACAAAGAATCCAACCTTCTGCTCTGCAGCAAATCTTCACTGCAACTTTCTTTGAAGGACGCTGTCGAAGGCGCAGAAGTGCTAGGCAGTCTTTGGAGACTCGCCCATAAGCCCGGCACATTGGAGGTAATGGTCTGAATCAAGCGCCTGCAGGCTGTGCCAGATCTCACAAAAACACAGAAAAACGAGCTGTGGCGCACCCTAGCAGGCCCTTGTAGAGTCCACCCAGACCCTGCTTTTCAAGCAAGCGCTTCCTTAGCCCGTCGTCGGTCCAGCGGGGTCTGTCTGGGAGTCTGGAGCTCACGGGGAGCGGAAGCGTCACTCAGACCCCGACGCGACCAAAGCAGCCTCGATCGCAGGAGCAGCGAGGGAGCGGAAATGCGGTTGCGGACTTGTTCCAAGGCCGCTCGCCGATCCTCCGTAGACTTGCTGCTGCAGCTTCAGCGTGTCGATCCTCAGCGCGGGGGCCGCTCGACTCTTCGCTCTCTGCTCTGCGCTCTCTGCTCTGGGAGATTCTGGCGGGAAAAGGATGGCTTCAGCTCCAACCGAGCCTCGGCAGCAGTGGTAAAAAAATAGCAGTAGACAACGACAGAGATCTGTCCGACCGGCCGACCAGCCCTCTTCTTTAGCCAAGGCTTCCACTGACAAGTCCGGAGCGGACCTGCGATGCTCGGGTTGACAGCAGGTGCCCGAATACCGTCAAATCACCGTCCGAGAGCCGTGCTTCTTGCCAGACCTTCGAAAGAAACTCTCACGCAGTACATTGAAAAGAAACTCCTCGGGCACTGCACTATTGCTACTTCCAGCGTCGGGCCTTCTCCCACACTGACACAGATTCCATTGCACCTAATTAACGGCTTTCCTGTGCACGAGAGGTCCTCGCTTCTAACCGCTTCTATGTCTAAGCGTAAGCTGAAGCTGCTCCAGGCAGTGAGAAAACCGTTTGCGCTCTGCGGACAGCGGTGGTCCCACTTGTTTGCACTCAATGTCCCACGTGTCCAACGACCTCGAGCTGAGCAGCGTAGAGTCAAAGAAGCAAATCAGGCTGGGCTGGGCTCGAACGTTCCAGCTTTTCCAGCTTCCAGGGCAAAGCCGCGCTTCTGCAGTCTGCACTTTGGCAGCGCATGTTCACAGGTCTGGCTGACGCTGACTTTGGCCCAGCAGCCTGTGTCCTTCAGGCAGCACAGGATGCCAGCATCTGCTACTAGTACCGCCAGGGTTCAGCGTCGACGAACTGTGGTCCTAGTGTTGATGTGTGCGGGGAGAGATAGATGCGAGACCTCATGTGAACAGGAACTTGGCCGCCACATGGACACGACAGGCTTGGCAATTGATGTCTGAGCAACCGACAAAGCTTCCCGAACCTGCTTTATCAGATCGAATTTGTGAATCTGTGTCGAAGACCATGGGAAAGAGGGGAGGGAGAACGAGACAAACAAGACAGACAGAGAATAAAAGCTTCGTCATTCGTTCATACAGAAAGTCCGATAAGGGCTCGCAGGGAGGAGAGATGGGCCTGCTCCTCTATGTCCGCTGTGCGCCTCTTGGCTGTGAGCTCCTGGCACGAGAGAAGCAAACTTCGTGCACCAGAAAACTGAGCGCTTGGCTCAGCCAAGATGGACTGACGTCCCAAGTACACAAAAGCGTAAGTTGAGGGCTTTGTCAAGGACTGCTCACCTGGCCTCACCCAACCCAACCTGACCTTGACCTAACCTCATCTAAGCTAGACAACCTGGCAGCCCAAAAAAAGATTGGCATCCAGAGGGCACAGGGGTTCCATCCCAAAACAACTGCAAGCAGAGGGAAATCGTCCCTGAGCCTCCCTCCAAGTCTGGCCACTGCCAGCCGGAGAAACCGTCCGTTATGGTTTTCGACTTTTGGCGAATGTGGTACATCTTGCTTCACTTTGACACAATGTGCTTGACCAGGCCCTATCTGTGCATTTCGGAGCATCTGGAGCGAGAACAAGCATGCCGACTGGGCGATCTCGATCTTTGCCTTGTGAGCCTGCATACGAAAGGCAAAGCAGCTGCGCAACAAGATACTAACAAGATACTATAACATGTTTGCTCAAGCAGAGCGCTCGTTGACGACAGGTTGCAGAGACATCGGTCTGAGTGATCTCCTACTTGCATCTCGGCCTTCTCCAGCAGAGCTCGCTGAGATTCCCTTGGCCAGGTTGGAATGTGACTGAGACACGAAGCCTTGAGACTGGAAGCCATGTGCTCGCCTCCACATGTCTTCTGCTTCTCGAAGAGCTTCCTGGTGCACTCTAGCCTGCCGAACAAGGACACTCTACTGGTAGCGCTGTCGACACAATCTAAGACCTTTTGCTGCTCCATGTGGGCGGCGATGGCCGTGGCAGCCGCGTGTCCAAGTCGAGCCTTCCTGCACTGCTTGGGTTAAAAGCTCAGACCGTGATGCAACACTGCACCATGGTTTGAGGTCTGAGAGCATGGCTCTGCGTCTGCCTCGTGCCCGATCGCATGAGCCTGTGTAGCCAGGTCTCGCAAATCACATGACATGGATGCGGTCAGTCTAGCTCCTGAATGTCCTCTTGGCGCTGCAGCTGAGCCTTGGCGAAACCACGGATTCTTGGTCGGCGTGTGTACCATTCAGTGGCCCCTCGCACTTCCCTCTCGATTGAACGCCGTCGGGATGCCACTCTCACTCCGTAATTCCCTCACTTCCTAATTCTCAGTTAGCCGCTAAATCGACGGCTGCTCTCCTTCATCCACTGGGGGCACACCAGGGAGCTCACCAGTAAACATCAACCGTCCGCCCTCCTAGATGCCTGCGCCAGTCCTTCGACCAGTCCTAGCTAAACCTGATGAAACTTGGGTCCACGCGTGGCGTTCCTTTGCCTGCGCTGCCACCTCCTTTTCTGCCAGCTGAGCATGGCTCTCAGCCTTGCTCTGATCACATCACACCGTACAAATCCAATCAGATGCCTCCACCATGCTCTCAGCCTGCTTCAGGATGTTGCCTCGTTCTTCTTGGTACCTGTCACACAGATCAGTACAGTCACGGGTTCAGAGATTCAAGTTTCTGTGACTCACTTGAGGTCGATGTGGGCTAGCTGCTTGGCCAGTCCCCCGTCGACTTCCTGCTGGCTCTCTTGAATCAAGGATGCAGTAACTCGTCGTGGACAACAAAAACATCCTCCCTGGAGCACGCAACGGCAGCAATGTGTTGCTCCTGTTTCTTCCTTTGCGCCTCTGCCAAGATGTACTTGTGGTCGTAGACCTGTCATCGGTTCGATGCCTTCTCGCATTCTGCCAACTTGCCTTGCAAGAATGCCTGGGCCTGGTGTTCACCTCTTGCACCTCCCGCCACCCCATTCCGATGTCCTCAGAAAGCAGGACACGCTGTCCTGCTTCACCGGGCCCATGGATGCTCATGGGCCGATCCTGGCTGCGCCAGCCAGGGAGCTTGCTGTGGGTATCCTGCCAAAGTTGCACGGTACGTCCTGCAGACGTGCTTTACCCTGGATGCACCTGCTGGTCCTGGTCGCGGCAACGACATGCCTGCAATCAGGCCAAAGCGAATCATGTTTCCTGAATCTGCCGCCTGCATTCGATTTAATCTGGCATTGCATGTTACAGAGAAGTCTCAATTCGAGATGCATAGAGCTTCAGACCCGCAGCAGACTCAAGAAATCCATCCTTGCAGCGCCTGCACAGAAGCACCCATAGCCTTGCTAGGGGGAACCCTTCTCAGGTGGATGGAAAGTGTCGGATGAAAAAGCTGCGAAACACTCCGATCACCAACCTGAACCGCCTCAAGTTGTAGTGAGTGCTCCTAGTTACTTGAGCCGGATATGCTTCACACAGATTTCAAGAATCGCCAAGTGTTTGCATGGTCTCTGAGGGTCCATAACATGGTGACAACAGCACATGTTGATACATTTTTGGCCGGCTGGTCTCCTCGTGCGAACACACTGAATTCAATCATTAACAAGCCTCCACGCTTTGATGCTGAGATCAAGACACGCTCAGGCTGAAGTGAAACAGTTAAAGCCAGCACCGTCATGTCCTCGTCAAACGAGCCCAAGCCTCCCGCAGTGCTTCAGTATAGCGAGTTCCGTCGAACAGCAACTGCAGGGAGCTTGCACTGAGGCTGATCCTGTGTGTTCTTTTGCACATGGCTCCAAAATGCAGATCTCTCCCGCATGCTGACATGGTTGAAAATTGAGCTTGGGTCTGAAGTATCATCATCCCTCGGGAAAGGAGGGCCCAGCTGAGAACAGCGCTGCCCAGCTGCTGAAAGCCCACACCAAGAAATCTACCTCAAATTGAACACGGGAAACGACGCAGACGCAGTATGCCGAGTCGGCTGAGCTCCCTGCATCCATGGCAAGCACCATGCCTTCCAATCTAGCCTTGTGAAGCTGCACTGTCTCAACCACTCATGCAAGAATTTCAAGTCATGTATTTACAACACAGCTGCCTTTCAGATGTCCTGCCCGGTAAAGACCATCTGGTTTAAGGATAAGCTTGAGGAGTCTATTGACGAAATAGACATACACTCGAACACCTCCTGCTGAAGCTCACGAGAGTGTTAAAAATGGGCCACGGCCTCTGCACAGCTTTCAGTGCATCTTTCAGAGGCAGAGTGAATCCCTTGTGTCACTCCCGGGAAAATCTCCAAAACTTCAAAGGGGTCGACAATCGAAGATCTACGCGGCCTTTGTGTAGTCGGGACCTTCGCAGGGCATTCGGTCAAGAATCGCAAGCAGCGAGAAGTAGGGCAGTGGGGCAGACTCTTTGCAGGCTGACTTGACTGTCCGTTTGTGTTGTCAGGTGTCCGGAACCCCAGCACGACTAGCCAAAGGCCATTTTCAAGCTGCTGTCTCCAAAAATCAACTACGTTGCAAAAAGCGACCCAAGCCCGCTCAATGACGAGTGTGGAGAATCATGAGGCCATTCCGAAGATGAGAGGTGAATCGCAAACCCTCGACTGTAGAAGACGACAGGGCTTGCAAATAGTGCCTACAGCCTTGAGAGCCAAAGGGTCTCCGCAGCAGAGGGCGGAGGGGGGGGGGTGGTGGTGAGGCAAAAAAAATTGCTTGTTGTTTCCCCCCCTTCCCCTTGGTCGACGGACGCTAGAGCCGTTAGAGCCCTCTGAGCCCCATAAGCACGGAGCCAGGCCTATGGACCAGGCCTGCGAGACTCAGAATTTTTCGAAATACGTGGAGCCTTCGAGCTTAAGGCCAGGAACAAGATCAAGACTGAGCCTAGGCTCAAGACCGAAGCGGAAATGCACACATAATTCTCTACCATGCACCCCTAACAGACATATCAAAATTTATAAGAACATTTCACGTTCTGTATGATCCATCATGTGTGAAGGTATGTGTGTCATTGTGTGTCTATGCGCGTACATAGAGACTGACACATCGCACAACAACACATGTGTGTTCGTGTATGGATGTAACCATGTTTGTAAAATTCTATGAGTCTGAGTAGATACCCCTGCATAAGATGTACATGTCTACGTACATTTCATCTTTGAACAAATACAAGGCATATATGTTTTGAAATACAAGAATTGAAAGAATCCTTACACATTAATGCTAATGTGGGTGTATACAACTACATATGTTTCATCATGTTCTATCCAAAATATATATCTAAACTCATTAGATGTGCTTAACAAAGTTTAATATTAATACGTATGAACGAGATAATGAACTTCAAACATGAATATCACGACAGGGCTGCAACCATATTGGCAGGTTGGTTGGCAAACCCCATTTTCAAAGAAAATGATAGGGTTAAATCCGTCATCCCGAACAAAGGCAACTGATTGCAAAGCACCCCAAATTATGATCACAAATAGTGTGTGGCGTGTCCAATGGCTTTATCCTTGGCAGCAGATTGCGGGTGGCAAACCCAATCAACCCTGACTAGGTTAGAAGCATTTCAGACTCTGTTGGGTTGGCAGATCCAAAATCCGAAAGCTAATAAGAACATTGTGGGGGCCAACACTGCAAACCCTAAATGCTGCATTGCCGTCCCAGCCACTGGGGCATGATGGCTGTCAAATTTAAAGAATGAAGACCCTGGAGAGCAAGAACGGAAGACAAGGTTTCAAAAAAGGATGTACAAGGGTACAACATGGACGTCGCAATAAATCATATTAGAGAAATAATCAGAAATAATCTGTAGCAAACCCGAATAAACTCTGAACGGGTGACTTGGCAGTAACAGGGACCTAAATCTCTACTGCATAAATGCGTTTATCAACTGCCATTCAGTATAAGCTTCCGGAAGATCCTCATCGTGCTTGAGATTTATAGGTTTTCAGAAATCTTGAAAATTTATCAAGTTCGCTTGCTTTACTCAAACACGGGCGTGTATTCCGTTCAGAAAGCCAGAAATATGTACCTGCCCAAAGCCCCTGCAAGCTTTGCTGTGTGAAGTACACCAACTGCTGGCATCATGTATACACACAGATCACATGTCTTGCGAAATTGAGTGTCTCCAGCAATTCATAGCATCCGCTTTCGTGCGCGCTTGCATGCAGTTTCGCATAAAACTCCACTCTAAAACAAACCTATGCGGATTGTAGCACGTGTATACATTGGGACGAGCATAGTCAAGCGAGCCTGAGGTCTTCAGAAGGAAAACATGGGAAGGCTAGCGGCTAACACAAACAGGATAGCTGCTAGGTCCTAGGTGCTTCGCATCCCGCAGTGCTAGGGCGCCACTGCAGAAGCTGGGTCGCTTCTTGGAAGGAGGTGCCAACGCACACGCAAAGACGGGGGAGACGGCTGTCGAACGGTCGCCGATCCGAGGTGGTTGGGTCCATGCGAGCACAACCGCCCCACAAAGGCATGCCTTCGACATGCCTTCGCCCAGCAGACACCAGGGTAGAAACACGAGCGCGGCTCCCTTTATATCCGTGCTTAGCAGGCAGCACGCACTCCCACAGCTAGCAAACCTTCCCAGCAATGGCCATTGCAGACAGCTGCAACCAGGGGTACTATAACACTACAAAATAGTTTAATCCACCCTTTGGCGGGTTCCTCGTCTTCGGTTGAATCCTTTTGGGAGCCGTGTGAGGTGTTGACAAGAAGAATCCGTGAGTGGAGCTTATTCGCATTCCGACATTCCGATAATTTCCGAGGTGTCGCCGAAGTGTGCAATAAATTGAAGCAGAAAGCTGTTCAAGCTGAGGTCAACACTCTTGAACCAGGACACAGCATGCAGCCGTGTGCCCTCAAATGGACACCGACCATGCATCACCAGATAGTTGTCCAGCAGCACCATGTCTCCGGGCCTTTCTGGGCAACTGTCGCATCCCAGTGCATTACGCGTAAAAATTCAGAATCTCAGAAGCGGTCTCCATCTTGACCTTGATAGCACAGTCCAGGGTCACCTTGTCCAAGTGCTTCAGCCAATCGACCTGCAGCCACATAAAGCGCAATTTGTCACACCAACTAGCTCCATGGCAAACGCCCAGCGCACCTCCACCTTGTCTCCGCTTTTGCCATAGAAAACGTCGGTTTTGTTTATTCTGGACCTGAGGACAAACGAAAGTTGTAGACTCCTTCTTGATATAGCATGACGACAAGACAAGACAAGACAAGGAAAACGAGGGGTCCGCGTCTTTCGACTCCGAGCAACAAAGTCTCGGGGATAGACGGGTGAGCAGTGAAATGACTAGCTGGACTGTGCATGAATGTGGCCGGGTGCTAAAAGTAACACTAATTGATCGGCTGTGAAGAAGATGTTGTGAACATGCTGCTGGTTCCTGCTTGGAAAAACTGATCAAAACTTACTGACGGCAATCTAAGCGGCGCCCCAGTTGTCTCCTGAGGCAGCATCGCTGATGCGTAATGCTCAAGACGCCACGAGATCAATTTGGGCTTGGCCTGCGCTTCTCCGAAAACCTTCTCACGCTCAGACCGCAGGTATTCCTCGGGTGTCGGCACACATCCCCCTGCACATCCGGGCTTTGCGAAGGATATCAATGTCGTTGTCTGCATCAGAACTAGATGCAAAGCCCTCCCTGACCATTTCCAGCCAGGCGCTGCATGTGAATGCATAGAACCCCACCAGCACGGCTCTCCAGTCGCATGATGGCGGATCACAGGGTATTGCGGCATCGCCCGTACCTGGACTTTTGATATACCCGATCTACGTCTAGTTTGCGCGACACACCCTGACCTGCAAGATCTTGCTGCCATCATAGTCTGACTTCTCCCATCGGAGCTCCGTCTTGAAATCAACCTCCAGGCAAGCTTTGCTGATTCAGCCCGCGTGCAGGCCCTGCACCAAGCATGCGTCTAGAATCCAATTATGTTCAAGGCCAGCCGCCTTCATCTTCAACGCCTGTCAATGAGAACGTTCAAAGAACAATGCTGACATGATCTCACATGTCTCTGGGTGTTTGAGGGCCCTGAGCCTGCGTCAGGGCTCCATAGGCCAACGGCTCAACTGCTGGCTGCACAAACTCTGGCAGACTCCTCAGCTGCTCTGGAAATACGCTAGGTCTACAGCGGCACGGCGCCTCCGACACTTTAGTGCAGCTTGGTCTCTCGATGAAACCCATGGGAAACTCTGCGGTTGAGTAAACCACATCCTGGTGCCGCCATCTCTGAATGTGTCAGTTTGAGGAACGCCCGCTTTGTACTCAGGCAAGTGACTGAATCATAGACTTTCTCGAGCCATGCCTGCCAGGCTAGATGCATCGGAGAAAGCTGCCATCATGGTGTGAACCTCGCTGCGTGCCTCATCCAGCTCCTTGAACATCCTGACAGAACTGTTTCCACAAGGACAACATGGCAGTGTGTGATATCGCAGTCATCTGCCAACTCCACTCTGGGACTCTTTTGACGAGAGTCTTGCGGCCATCTGCAATAAGGAATTCACCACCTTGCTCGGCCGCCTGGCCCATTAACAACCAATCAACACGTGCTATGGACATGTCAACACAACCCATCTGAATCGAACTCGGCAGCTGAAGTCCTCGTTGGAGAACTGAGCGTTTCTCGTGCGAGCACACGGTCAATTCTTCAGAGGACAGTAGAATCGCACACCAGGACTGTGCTACTGGTAGTAGATCTTGCTTCCTCCTTCAAACCCAGCCATCCCTGCAAAGACGGACCGATGTTTGAGGGCTTCGAGCCACAGCTAAGCTGGTACACTGTACACCGAGACCGGAGGGCACAATTCAGCAGCATTTTGGTGGTGCGATGCAAAGAAAAGACAGGAGAGCGAGGGAGAGACCGGCAGGCTGGAAGAGAATCGTATGGACATGACAGTTGATGTTTCACTTCGACAACAATGCCCTGGAGGTTTCTCAACCTGCAGGACGATGTGAATATGCAGCCATCCACCACATCCAGGGCGCAGCGGTGAATTCAAAGGCCAGAGTGCACAACCAGCAGCAAAAACTGCACTTGCTCACAAACCTAAAGCGGGGCGTGAAACTACAATTGGCCGTATCATGCCGTATCAGTAATCAGCAGGCGAAAGTTGCGGTGAAGCGGCGCGCACACACACACACAAAGTAAAAAATGAGCTCGGGCAGATCAGTTCTGTCATTCACAGATGCATGCGAAGGCGGATCCAGCCTTGAAGCACACAAACATAGCTGCGCCTGGCGCTCTGTCGCCGACCATCCTGGTTGCAACACGTCAGGCCATAGCACCTAGTGCAAGCGCTACATACGCAAGAGCCACTCCATGAGCACCTTGCAGGATCCAAAAATTGAGAGGCACTACTCTGTAGAGGAAGCAGGATTTGCACCCAACATACGTAGGGCACCGTGGCAGCCGAAACATGCAGCACTGCGTACCTTGTTTGAAAACATTTAAAGCTCGGAAGTGCTGAAAGAGATACGCTCCTTTTGCGGGAAAGTTTGGGGCTCGCTTCAAGCGCAAGGAAGCGGAAGCTGAGAGCCAAGTGCGCTGTCGTTGAATCCGAGATCAAGCAACCATCAGGCTTCCATCTGTGCATTTTGTTCCTGCTGGAATTCATCGGGCCTAAACGCCGACACGCACATCATACCATTGGTACATTCAGCGACTGCACGCAGCAACGACGCTAGCATTGAACACATTGGGGAAAATGCTCAAGAAAAATGCTCATATTTTGCACTCATCATGTTTCGTCTTCTAATTTCCAACGTGACGGAGGATGCCCAATTGCGGAACGATCCTCGCGGCATGGTGGCGGCAGCACAATTGCCAACTATCCCATCTATCCCGAAGAGTCGAATAGTGGCCCTGCCAGGATTTCAAAGACTTCGAGCCGGATTGGAGGGAGCGCCCCAAAATCCGCCATGTGGTGGTGAATTCGGCCCACGGCCGGCGCGGGATTGTGGCGAGAAATTGAACATGCGCACCGCGCTACGGGAACGGCCGGCGAAGGACACCTCGCCGCCTCGTATGCTTATCAACAAACAAATCCCTCTACACCGAAAGTAGAAGCCCCATAGTGCTACTACACTGTCCGAGAGAAGCATAATTGCAGCAACTTGCGCTACAGCCGCGGGACTCGTTGTGCATTCCGATGTAGAACTTGCTGCGGGATCTCAGAATCGGAAGCATCTTTGTGTTGGAGCAGATGCTTTGCTGAGACTGTCTCCCGACTGAGTCTTCCGCGGCTTGTTCACTGCCTCATACACGCCTGCTTTCTTGTCCACAGCATCTCGCGCCGCCACCGAGTGCAATGGGTCCTGTGGTAGGGCTTGGACGACAGACGCTGGAGAGCTGGAGAAGTCCCGTTGCAACAAACATCTCTTCAGTGCTCTCCTCACAGGGGTCGAGCTCAAGGGCCTGCCCTACCTGCACGAGTCACAGCAGCATTCCGCGCCGTTGCGTGTGACAGGGCTGCTCAACGGCACTGTGCTTGTCCCCTCACTCTCCTCGCTTCCCGCCTGGCCAAAGGTTGCCTTGTCTTTCGAGATCTCGAAACCGCGAAACACGACAGCTCCGTTCGTCTTAAGGTCCTGGGCAGCATGTCCTTTTTTGACACCAACCCACACACCAGGGAAAAAAAAAAACGAAGAATCCTGACCTTGTAGATTTGCGGCAAGTTGGACGAGAAGAAATTGCGCTGTGCCTGGTCAGGGCACAACACTTGCATACTGAACCCACGAGCGTATGTCTATCTGGCCAACAGCCGTGTTCGAGCAGAGGCAGAGTTACACTGACAGCCGTGAAAATGCGAGTAGAAGAAGTCTTGGCAAAACTGTGCCGACTATTGCCGACTTAGGACCGCTTAGTGAAGCGCTCAACGGACGGTGCCCCTGCAAGTTTGAGACGCCAGACATTGGCAATGCGGGTTCTCGGAGAGAGACCAAGCAGACGGAGATCACTTGGGATGGATAGAAGCGGATCGACGCATGTGGGGCTTGTGTTCAGGCACCTCAATGTCACCTTTCAGCTCTTCAGGCATTCGAATCTCTTTGGGGCCACTGGGCACCTGCCGAAGGCAGGTAAAAGGAAAGATCTTCCTTCAATGCTCGAGCATGATTTGCCTGAAGCTCCTGACGTTCCTTTGCAATGTCTATGTCCTTTTGACCTCCAGGATTGCGGGATGACGGATGTCTCACATTGCAGGAAGTCAAGTCTCAGGTCTCAGTAAGGGGCCGTATAATGCGTACGGACAGTCGGCAAGGCCATCTGCATGGCGCGTTATGTGCGAACGCCTCGACTTGCATAGAGTCCAGACGGGTCTACTTACAATGCAAGCCAAGTTAATGCAAGCGAGTAACCCGACGGCGGACTTTCGCTGCATCCGCAGTGCGGCAAAGGCAGAAACCGCCGCGACCGAAGCCGGCAGCCAGCTGCTTTGCAGGCTTCCCGGCTGAGGACCTTCCAAGGGCGGTCAAGAACTTCGCAAGGGCTCTGGCAACTTGTGGATACTTGTGGCCTGTGGATACAGCGGGGCCCCGTAGTCTGGCCACTGCGCCATTAGCCTCTCCTCCCCGTCCACCGACGAAGCACCTCAACGAGGGTTCAGTGGGCCGTTCCTCACATCCAACCAATCCATGAAGCCTGTGGCCGGCCTGGTTGCGCAAATCATTGTCGCACAAGCTGCAGATGCCTCAGGACGACGAAAGACTCTCTAGCTCATGGTCCTTCGCCCTCTCTCTGCATACAGAATCTAGCCATGTCGTTCAACGCAAGGCGACTGGTTGGGGGATCAAGGTCTTGGAAACCGTCAGCTACAGTAGCACATGGAGTGTTACGAAGGGTTGTCAACTCCAGTCCTTGCTCGACTCTCGGCACTCCGACTGAATCGCAGCGGTGCCGCAGTGGCCACGCCCACTCGTTTGCCATCCATGGCCAAGCAGCACTAGGACTCGATTAAAAAACCCTCCTAGGAGCCCACAGCTTGGGAAGCCGGTGCCAAAAGTCTGCTAGCGGCATCCACACTCCAGTCTCCGATGCCAAGCTCCTGGCCGAATCTTGGCAAGACTTCGGTGCCCTGTGGTTCGTAGGTCCGCAGGTCAGGAGGGCTTCAGATGGCTTCAGATGGAGATGGACGGGGATGGGGTCACGAAACCCAGGGGCTGAGGGCCGCTGCTGTGTCAACGGCTCCGTTGCGGCGACCAAACCCGTCTCCTTACACTTAAGAGACAGGAAGTCGTCATGTCACCTGTGCCGGTCCGGGCCCCTTACACTGATGGCCCGCAACTCTGCTTCAGCTGCTGCCACCGCCTCGCCCCAAAGGACCCAAAGGCCCCAAATGCTGCGTGCGCTGCGTGCGCTACGTGCGCTACGTGCGGTGCGTGACAAGCAAAGCGGTTGGCCTCTTGCAGTTGCGCGGCCACGGCTTCGAACCAGGCCCTGAAGGCAATGCCTGGCCGCAAGGAGTGGCGGACAGCATCGGCACAGTGGAGAGAGCTTGAGAGCTTGGTGCTGGGCGCAGGCGTTGGACGTCTCGCCGCACGCCCTGCACCCTGCACCCGGTGGAATCAGCTGGCGAGTTGGCAGTTCTGCCATGGTGTCAGAATCACTTGACCCTCAATATATGAAGCTCAAAGAGATGCGTGCCTCAACCTGCGCATCTTCAACGCAAAGGTCCACCATCCTTGCGAACAGAGTGCAGTTTCTAGGCTCAATTGAGAAACCGAGAACCCAAACATCATTAAATGAAACCTCAAGGTTGCTGAAAACCACACATACTCCCAAACCTAGCAAACCTCATCCGTATGTGTATATATATATATATACATATATCTGTCGGTGTGCGTGTCTGTGCGCGCATATGTATGTATGTAGGGTACATAGTTTACATTTAATATGTACCTATGTATGTATTTGTGCATGTATACCTATGTGCATGTACGTATGTAGATTGCATGCATGTACGTATGTGCGTATGTATGCACACAGTGCCACGAGTAGTCTGTGGGGCTTAAGATCGATGATTGGAGACCCGTGGAAGAGTCGCTGTATAGGAGATATTCAAGGTCAATTGGAGCATCGTACCCTTGATCGTTACCCTTTATTCAAGTTGACACTTTAAAAGACTCCTGCAGGCTGAATTCGTCAAGCTTCGGACAAGGGACTTTTGAGCACTTGTAGTATGGATTGGTTGGGTTTGTATCATGAAATAGAAGGCTGGAAGGCAACATGGCACTTCGCAGTCTAGGCCCGTTTAAGCCGACAAAAGTATTGGAGGCCGATGTTGATTGAAGCTAGCGAACATAACCTGTGGCATATCTGAATCCTTGCCTGTTGCTTGAGGCGTATAAAGTTTACAAGTACCTCCTTGTGGTGGGAACAATATATAGGTTATGCGACTCAGACATGAAAGCAGCTTATGACAGGATAATTGGTATCCCAAACTGCCGACGCGGTGGGTTCGAAGGGAGCGGGAACGCAATGCTACGAATATCAGTCGCGTTCTTGCTAGAGCACCTTTGGGCACTGGTACTTCTTATAACTCTGTACAAATTCGGGTGTGCACAGAGGGAGCCTCTAGAAGGATCTTGAGGCTGCTCCCCTGAGGGCAGCAAGGCCACAACAGGGTACTCTTCTAGTCACTACAGATCTTCAAGAAAACAACGGACCGTCGGGTACGATAAGGCGCGCGGGTTGTCACAGATGAAATGCTGTTTGATCCCGAATCCTTTTTACTTTCAGGTAACAAATTCTCAACCGCAAACAAACAAAACTCTAGCGGGGGGGGACCCTCACAAGGAAACAGGAACCTAAGCACCATGAGAGCTCGCGTGAGCACGGAGTCTAAAGGGCAGCTGTGCTTGACGCTCCCTGAACAAGAAACTAAAACTCGTGGCGCGGGAAGCCGACATTCACAAAACAACCGACAAACTTCAACAAAAACCCTAGGATCGATGTTGGCAAACCTCACAGCCTGGTGCTCGAATTGGGATGCAGTGACACACCCCCAACAGCAACGGACAAGCTACCTGTAGACGGCATACTTCTGTCAGCCGGACGTGTTCTGGTGGCAAACCCTAAACCCTAAAAAGCGCCATGGCATGCCATGGTGGTATAGGCCTCATCCCAGAGCAGAGAATGCTGAGTGTGGTAAACCCGAAATTCCAGAAGTGGCGAAACCTTAGATCCATGACGGCTTTGGTGTCAGTCAGGCTCTTCGTGCTGGAAACGTGNNAAAACAATGTGTGGTTCAGGAACCCTTAGGCTAAAGAAGTGGCAAAACGTTAGACGCGAGAAACAATGTTGGCGAAGCATATACGCTAGAGCACTCGTTGGGTGCGCAACAATTTCACGGCATAAAGAACGCCTCATGTGAGAGCTTGTTGAGAAGCCCTGTTAGCTAGAACTGCTTCGGGCAGCAAAAACTAAACTGTAGAAACTTCTCCAATGTCTCAGTCGCTAAAGAACATGTTTGAAGACGATCCATCAAGCATGCCGGATCCCTCAAAACCGGCTGGGCGGCGAAACGACACCGCAAGACACACAAAACAGAAAGCGAACCTTATCAGCTACCGTGCTAGCAGAGCGAGCTAGATCGCTGCTTATTCGCTGGTCCTGTGTCCGGAGCATCGAGGTGCTGGCACGGCCGCCAGGCACAGCACTAGGAGTCACTAGCACATGGTGTAGCCCACCAGCTGGAGAGGTGGGTGAACAAAAAACCTCTCTGACGTCGGGCCCTTGAACGGCCATCGGCGAAAAGACTGAAATGTTGCCGAAAGATGCTGTCAAAAGAAAGAGAATAAGCACCAAGAATGCATGTCCCTGGCCCTAGGTGCACACAGATAGGCTAACCAGAATTGGGTGGGACCCCTTCGCGTGCCAGGCCCAAAACCCTAAAACATGACAAGGTGAAGAACCGCACTGACTAAACAACCTGCTGGACGGGTTCCATCAAGGCATGTTTGGAACGCAAGTTCGGATCCCGCATAAAAAAGCGTTGGGTAGCGAAAGTTTGAAACGACACGGCGAACACCCAGGACTTGCAAACAGTAAAATCCCGAAAGTGGATTGCCCGGTGAGAAACCCTGAACCACGAACCGTCAGTGTAGGGTGGCGAACCACAAATATCTGGTGGATGGCATACCTACGATTTGAGAAAGGGTTGCAGCAGTGTGACAAACCCGGAAGGTCTGAACGGTAGATTTAGGCAGCAAATTCTGAACTCCAAAATGCGTGGCGGGGCGCGGCAAAGCCGGACTTGCAAAAGGGCTTGCAAACTCCTCAACCTTACACAGATGGCATTGGGGAACCTTGACCTTGCACCCCACAGGACGCATTCGGCTTGCAGATATGTAGGCAAAGCGGTAAATGGCAAAACGAGTCTTGTTGTCCAGCTCTTCGCGTGGAAAATTGGAGGAATAAGTCTGTCGTGTAGAACTGTTCCGTGCGGCAGATCTAAGCCCCAAAGCCATCCAAGGTTGCAAAGTCGCGAACGCGAAAGAGCGTATTCGATAACGACTTTCCCCATCACATACTATTCTGCAGTGCAAGCTGGATGGCAATATCTGAAGATGGGGTGGGAAACCCGAAATTGCAAAAGAACTGACAAGGGGTTGTTCGAGGTGACAACCCCTCGACCACCAAAAATCGGCGGAGGTTGGCGAATCACAAAACCTTGTTAGAAGGCATGCTCGAAAGCCAAGAATCGTGCTGTGTGACAAAGCTTGAACTCCTAATAGAGGAAGCACATTAAGGGTTGAGCCCCCGAATTACCAGACACCATCAGCACTGGGTGTGGCTGTGAGCTACACCACAGGCCGAAACCTTGTGCTGGCAGGCTTCGGATGCCAATCCTGAACTGACCCTAATTAAGCCTCGAACACTGCACCGGTGACGGCAACTATGCACTCGAAGACGACCGAAAGCCATCAAATTTCCGGATCCCTCTTTCCCGTGGCAAACCACGTTCAAGGAAGGGCTGGACGTAACTGAGAGACCCTGGCAAGACGGCTGACGAAGCCGTGAGGAGAGACAGGACATGCTGAGTCGAAATGAAGCGCCAAGACGACGAGAAGCACGGTCGGAAGCCATCAAGGGATATCAAGGGCGGCACCCCTCCAGCGAGAGACTTTTTAACGGCAAGCAATGGGGGCTGAGCAAACCTGAAGGGGAGATCTCGATGGCGAACCCCCAAACACTGATAGATGCCTTCGACAATCAGACCCAAGACGGGAAAAGGTGGCAAACCCAAACCCAAACAGGAGCAACAGAAGCACGTGGTGGATATTGAACCCTATGCCCAGGAGCGCTGCTCTGCTGCAAGTCACGAACCCTGCGCAGACGTGAAGAGGAGCATAGATGCACCAAATCACCAAAAACAAACGCGGTGTTAGATTCGAAGCATTGGATACCGAAGTGTTTAAGGAGCTACCGGCAATAGGTATAGAGCCTCGACTTCAATTCGGAGCTCTGCAACAACATGCGAGGGCATTGGGCGGGAGGCCCTAAAACGAAACTAAACGCAAACGCAGAAGGGGTAGATCTTGTCAACCCTGCTGAAGATCCATCCTGAGGTTGCTGCGCAGATGGTGCAACTTCGCGTGCAGATGTGCACCACGCCATGCAGAGCATGCCCACCTCACGATTCCGCGCTGCAAGTACACCTGTCAAGCAGTGGGACACTCTCACAGCTGAGCACTCCCGCTGAAGGACGGGAAGCGCTGCCGCATCCACCTGCCTGCATGCTGCAGACACCCCCGCAGACAGACGCGGTGCAAATGCAGACAAGAAAAGCACAGCAAGTTTCAGCAAAGAGGCTGAAGCGTGACTGTGAACTTCCTGAAACACAGAGAGCTGCAAAAAGAGCTCACGTCTGAGACTCTCCGAGGCGCAACGTGCCGATGCCCTGTGAAAAGTCGAGGCGCAACCACCTAG